TTGCTAAAACTTGTTTATTCTAGCAATTTTTCTTCAGGGATTCGGGATTTTCTACATACAGTATCATTTTATTACAATTAAAGGCAGTTATTTTCTTTCTAATCAGGACGTCTTTAATTAAGTAAATAACTTTCCCTATTATCTTGGCTAGCCCCTCCAGCTCAATGTTGAGTAAAAGCAGTGAGAGAAAACATTTTTACTTTCTTCTCAATCTTAAGACCAAAGCATTCTCTCTCTACTAAGTATGAGGCTAGCCATAGGTTTTTCATGAACTCCCTTTATTAGACTGAGAAAGCCTGTGTTACTGTTGGGTTTTTTTGTGAGTTTTTATATTGAAAGAGTGTTGGATTTTGTTAAATGCTTTTTCTGCATCTATTGAAATCATCATATGGCTTTGACCTTTATATCAATACAGTGTAACTGATTCTCTGTGTTAAACCAACTTTGCATTCCTAGAATAATTCTCATTTGGTCATGGTTTTATTAACTTTAAGTTTGGGATTCAGTTTGCTAAAATTCGGTTAAGGATTTTTCCAGCTATATTTACAAGGGATTTGCCAGTGGCTTTCTGTTATGATATCACCATGGATTCTGTATCAGAATAATATGGGGTTTATAAAATGAAGCGTTTCCTACTATTCTATATTCTGAACAGTCTGTAAAAGATAGGTATTATTGCTTACAAATCTTGATGTGAAGATATCTGGATCTTAGCTTTTCTTTAATTATGAGGTAATACTTTTTTTTTTTTTTTTGACTTGGTATAGGTCTATTTTGATTCTCTGTTTCTCCTGGGTCAATTTTTAGTAACTCATTTCTTTCTAGGAATTTTTCCATTTTATCGCCAGTGTGTACTTTTTTGGCATAAATTTGTTCATAAGATCACACTATAATCATTGCCAGTCATGTTATGAATATCCCCTATTTCAATCCTGATTTTGGAAATTTTTGTTTTCTTTTTTTTTATGTTCAATTTATATAAAAGTTTGTCATCTGTGTTTTTTAAAGACTCAAGTTTTGGTTTTATTAATTTTTAATTTTACTATTGTTTTTGTTTTGTAATTTTTGTATTTCTGCTATAATTCTTAGTATAGCCCCCTTTCTGTTGGCTTGCAATTTAGTTTATTCTGTTGTAAGTTTCTTAAGGCAGATGTTTAGATAATTTATTTTAAAATGTTCTTTTATGATTTAGGCATTTAAAGCTCTACACACTGATTTAGCTGAATATGACAATCTTATATTGTTTTTGTTTGTTTTTAAATCAGTTCAAATTATGTTTAATTTCCCATGATTATTTCTTGATTCACTAGTTAATGTCCAAATATTTGGGGATCTCCATAATTTATTTTTCTTGTTGGTATCATATTCAACAATGCTATAGTAAGAAAATATACTCTGTATGGTTTTAATCCTTTCAAATTCATTGAGATATGTTGATAACCAAGTATACACCCTGTCCTGAACAATGCTCTATGTTGCCTGAAAAGAATGAACCTTCTGTAATCATTAAGGGAGTCCTCTCTATCTTTCAGTTTAGATTGAATTAGTTACTCTATTGTTCAAGTATTCTGTCTTGGGTGACATTTTTATCAAGTTGTTCCATTATTTCTTTGAGAGTAGATTATTAAAAGCTCCCATATTGTTATGCTATCTATTTTAACTATAGTATTTTTTCATACATTTTGAGCATCTGTTAGTAGGTGCATATACACTTGTAATTATTATAGCTCCTGATATATTGATATTTGTATATCCTTATTTGTGCCTTTACTTGTCTTAAAATATATTTTTTCAAACAGTATAGAGCAAATTCTTCTCTTATGTTGTCACGTTTAGCATAGCATCTCATCATTGTAGACTCTGAATCTAAGTATCTGTTGGAGACAGATTTCTGTTAAAAACTGGACATTTTAAATAGTATTTTACAGCTACTTGGGGTTATGATTTCACTCTAAGATGACTTTTGCTCTTTTATTGTTGGTTTATTTTCTTGGCTGGGCTAAATCTCTGATTTGTTGCTCTGCTATAACATAACTAGTGATCTATCTGCTAAGAAAATGTTTATAGTTTTTAATTTTTAATTCTGGCTCTGCAGGTTTTTCCTTCTGTATCTGTATAATTCAGCATTCAGTCAAGGACTGGGCATAGTTTGTGCTCAAACACCTTGAACCAGGAAGGCTTCCATGCAGATGGCCCTCTGTGTAAAGGGGAGAGAAATCAAAGCTCAGGCCATTTTTACATTTACACCAGCATTTGCTTTCCACTGGGATTATCTGTCTTCTTGGACTTGTTCATATCCCTGTGGTCAGCCAGACTGTAAACTGCTTGGTCCCTCCTGATTTTTGTGTATCAAGACTCAGCCAGAAATATACTTGCCCAACCGTGCTAGAACCTCAGGTCATCCTCCTTATTCTTGGTAAAGAACATGACTTGCATTGAAAATATTCCTGAGTGTGATGGCTGGACATTATTTCAAATTAGGGAAATCCCTTTCAACAGTGGTATGCAGCTGCTGAGTCTCATAATCTTCCCCACTTTGTTACAATCTTTATACCAACCAAGCAATGGGGGTGAGATGGAAGCATTCCGAAGTGATGCACCCCTAAGAATATCACACACTCCCATTGTTCTTCTTCAAAGTTCAACAGCTTTTCAAGCACAAATGTTTTTCAGATTGACATAGGTTGTTGGTCAATTTCCAGAATGCTAAAATGGCTGTTGTGATCAATTTTGTCTAGCTTTATGGTTGCTTTTTCAGGATAGGATGTTTACTTCCTTATTCAGTCATGGCCTTATTCAGTCATCAAGGTAGCTTTATATTGATTCCCAAATCAGAAAACAGTGATTAAAAAGAGAAAAGTATGGACTCAATTTACCTATGTTTCAAATTTTCTAAATGAAGCATTTGCTATTCAAATCCAACAATGTATTAAAATTTTACTATGGTTAAGTGTGATTTACACAAAGAAAACAATGGATCAAAGCTGTTGTGATCAGGATTGATAGATTAGCAGATTGGGATGGTAGAAATGGAAAAGGAGAAAGTCATATTTGGTGCAGGCTGAAGGCGATACCAATAGGATTTATTGCTGGACTGGATATTAGATTTGGGAGATGGAAGAATGAGTAACTAGTGAAAAAGAAACTGATGCTGCAAGAGAGAATGTCTGTGGGAGGAAAAATTCTTGAACAGGTACAGCACCTTATTCTGAGAGTTAGCAGCAGGGCTGATTCTTGATGGGAGGAATCTAAGCAAAGAAAGTGGGTAGATTGTTTTCTTTTATGTGTGGAGAAAAAAACCAACAAAATCATAGTGCATATGCATGAATCCCTTCAAAGATACACAAGTCAAAATCTAGATGGAAATAATTTGCAAGCATAAGCCAACTATTAACTGCATTCATTTTTGAGTAGTTTCCTAGGTGGCAAATGTGTAACTGTACAAACGATCTAAAGGTGAACATTACAACTCAGGTGTAAAACATTATGTAGAAATATAAATTTCTTAAAATTCTCTAAAATAAAATTTAAGAAATTTTATTTCTTAAAAATTTCCTGTTTGACTAAAATTCAGTAAATGTGTGTTGACAAAAGAAACCATTTGACAGTGGTAACTTCTAAAAAAGCAAGTTAAGATCTGTGTGTGTGTGTGTGAATACTTTGATTTTTGTCATTTACATGTATACTTTTAAACACTATGGATATATCAGTTTTTCATGAAGGACAAGGGAGACTGGCTCTTACAGAGAGAAAGCCTCTTCTCTAATGGGACAAATAAAGGCAGATTTGAAAATTGCCTGTAAAACTTTCTCACCCGATAGATTATGTAGCGTGCAGAGAGAGCTCCCTTTTGCTCAGATAAAGGATTTGCAGCTTTTAACTCATTGTGTGGTGACTATATATATATTGTTTTAAAAGTGAGACTGGTTGAGCCCAGACAAAGAATTTGACCACGTTTACTGCGGAGGCTGAGGTTCTCAGGCATTCCTGAGCAACACTGACAAGGATGATGGCAGCTTGGTTAGACCAGGGTGTGAAGGCAATCTGGGTGTGCCTGCCCTGGCTGATTAATTTAATTATGTGTCAGGGACAGGGGAGGAGGACGGGAATGAAGATATTGGAGCAGAAGCTACATAGGAGACCTGGAGTGATGTAAGCAGTTGGCATGATACCTGGGGATGGTCCCAGGTTTGTCAGTGACTTATTGAGATACAGTAGGCCAGAAATCGCCCTGAACCCAGGCCTTTATATTTTATATAAATAAAAAATGTTGTATAAATATTATCTACAGAATGAAAAGATTATAGGATAGGTTGTGTCTATGCAGTTTCTTTTACTTTACTTCATTTTTTATTTTATTTTTTTAACCACAAACAAATAGCCTGAATTCCAAAGGGTGAGACAGGTATAAGCAACAACTCTAGTTCAATCAGGCCAACTGTCCAGGTGCTAGAAAAGACATACTGTAAGATGTAAAAGAGGAAAAGAGAAAGGAAATAAACCAAGCCAAATGCCTGCTGACATGTGTTGAACACTTCAGTTGGCCTTTTAATCTAAGTTTCTCCTTTGATCCACATTTCATTTCACAGATGAAAAACTGACACCTACATGTACATAAATTGTCCATGTGACATAGACAATAAATAATATTTCTGAGATTTGAACTTCATCCTATGGTCCCATAAGGTTTCTTCCTGTAGTTAAGACAGATGAAGAAAAATGAGAATAGTCACGGGGGCAGATGCCACCCAAGCTTACTCCACACCTCTCACACTGTCAGTGCTCAAAATGTTGCCTGAGACTTGGGTCATGAGGTTGGGCCTGTGGACAAGCTGTACCAGATATTTAGCCCACCCCTGGACTAAGCCATGTTCCCTCCCTTCTAAATAGTTGGCTTCACAACAGGTATGACCTAGTAATGAGGAAATGAACAGATAGTTCTAAGTACAACCAAACATAATTTCAAAAACAAATATGACAAGTTGATTTCACAGAGTCACCTTTGCTGGAGCAGTATCCCTGGTGTCTCTTGTTAAATGCCTCGCCTGTTTCTGGGATTTCACTATGTTTTCCCTGGGAAAGAGGAAGAAATAGCATAGCTTAGACATACTTGGCTAACTTGCATTGATAAAAGCAGACACGGTAAACTTAATTTTGACCATTCTCCTCAGCTCCACTGGCATGTCAACGGTGAAGGTATGTCCAGAAATGGGCACAGGTACCACACATCTCTCCCCAGTGCACAAACATATCTCAAACATGGTTCTATTGAAGGGAGGAATCTCCACTTTTAACTACGTAACAGATTTGCCCCCCTTAAATACTTCCAAAATGCAGGGGGTCACCAGCTCTCAATGAAACACCATGATCACACTGAACTCATATCTGCCTGCCTGATTCCAACTTTGAAGGACCCACAGAGCAAACTGAGCATTTGAGGCTAACTTTTATTATCTCCTACCATCTCCTTTAGGTGAAGAAATCATGTTTATTCCATTATAACTTAGTAAGGTTTATAGAAATAATAATTGAGTAAGTCATTTCAAAGTGATGTGTTGTAAGGTATTTTTCTTGGGCTTTAAATTACTTTTTCAGTAAATTTGTTGTATCTACACTATCATTCTCCTATAAAACCACCACTTGCCATAGAAGGGAAATTTACAGTGAATATTACTACTGGTTTATATTCAGCTTTCAAGAGCATGAGAAAGGATTGTTCCACTTCCTCTGAGCCTCCCCCACCCCAATTATGCCCTGCCTGGCTTCATCTTCCCACAGTCTGTTCCCTGGAAGCAGCACGTATGATCGGAGCTCTTTATCCCAATATTATTGACCATGTCAAATTAAATGTCTTGACACATACCAGCCTGGCACTTAAAAAGCTAATTACAACATGATTATCTTAAATGGGTGAGCTTAATACTGGCTTGGTACCAGTGTTGAGGTTTTGATGGTAGTGAGAAATTGAGAATGACCTCCCTATTCAAAACCAAATGAGGGGCACGCTAAGGACTTGCAATTGATTAACTCAAGCATTCTTTTCACCTTTTTGGTATCACTGTGTTATCCCTTTCCCTGTCCTATAACAACTGGAGAGAAGGAAATCAAGTCAGGAAGCATTGCACAGATGTTGCAAATTTCCAGACTACTAATTCTTTCTGAGTTGCAGGAAGTTGAAGTTCAAATCTCAATCAACTCTTTAGTTCATCCCACTGTAGCTAATCCCCCATGTCTGAAGACACGGGTGTCTAAAGAGTCAGGGTGGATTCTGCTTAGAGGGAAGAGTGTGGCATTATTCCCAAGGAGCTTTTCTCAGTCTCTAGGATACAAGAGAGTCAGTTCTTAACAGGTTCAGGAAACCTGACTTCCTTTCTTAAATTCTTTTTTCCCCAGAACCAGGAAACTCAATGTGGAACTACATCCTCAAAAGACAAAGAATGACAAAGGACTTAAAAGTGCTATGTAATGTTGGGGCTACTGCAGCCGCCCTCACCTGAGGGCTTGGATTGGTGATGGAAATTTTTGTGGGGACTACACCTGAAAGGAGAAAGCATGCATTGTATAAAAAGGAAGAACAATGTAAAATATATATATAATAAAATTAATAAAAAAAGGTGCTACATAAGGCATCACTGCTGGACCCTCTGGGGTGTCCTGAAATACCATTTGCGTGTTTATTAAAATCTTTGCAGGCGGGTAGCCCTTATCCAACTTTGTCGATGGAAGATGTCTGAGTGATCTGCAAAGCATCTTTATTTAACTATTTATAATTACAAATATGTAGCTGGCAGGAAGTAAAAAGAATGCATTTACCAATTTAGAGATATGTTATTAATGAAAACACTTGAAAAATAACCTTTACTTACAATATGCTTTTACAGGTAGCACATTTGTTGAGGGATGTTATTCCTTTAGGGCTTTGGGAAAGGCTTTTATCTTGGGAACAGATCAATTGTCCATTTTCCATCAATGGCAGAAATTCATCGCATGCTTCCTAAGGAAAAAATGAAAAAAGTAGTATGTACTGAAATCTCATCAAAGTAAAACTTTACCTTCTAAGAAGCCCTTCCTTGAGTAATAGTATTTAATGATTACTACCTTCTTTATACGGGAGACATTCACTTCAGTTAATACAAAAAACAAACCAAAATGATGATGCTGGATTGTCTGCTAGATATTACAATCTAATTAATGCACATTGAAAACAATTTAGTGAAATGGAAAAAAACAATGAAGTTGAAGACAACAGACCTGAGCTCATATTCCAGGGTTCTCATTTACAACCCCAACAGCCTTAGCAAATTAACTTCTCAAAGGTTCACTCACCCTGTCTGCAATATATAGGGCATACACATACAGATTTCATGGGTTTTATGAGGATTAAATAGTATAAGCTTGTAAAACTCTCAAAGAATATCTAATACATAGTAGGTATTCAATAGTTAGATTCTTCTCTTTTCTCCCTCCTCCTTTTTTGCTATGTTCTTGCTGTTGTTTTCATCATTATTAAATATGTTGAGGTGACACATATAAAGTACCTAGCACACAGTATGTCAATAAATGCTGTAGGAAGCAAATGTCGCTGGCGGTAGGAGACAAACTGTGTGAGCACTGAAAACTGTGTTGTGCTTTGCCCACATTCCCCAAGGGATGTGCTACAAGATTCCAGTACCTAGAAAATGCCAGTAGTTATTAAATTAAAAAAAAGATTTCTATTTATTTGGAAAAGATATTTCTAGACTAGCTCCATTAATATATTCTATGCCTTAGAGCAGACTTACCTTAGAGTTAATGAGTTTTAAGTTTTTAGTTCCATCCCTTTCACACACACCCTTCCTGGGAGAGGCCCAGCCATATTTTCAAATGTGTATTCTTCTCTTTAAAAGTCCTCCTATTCCCTCTCCAACACCACTAACACAACTCCAACACTACCCTAAAAACAAACCCTTGGAGCATGTGAAAATATAGTCACATTCCACAAAACTTGCTTAAACCTTTCTATCTTCTAGCCATTTGTTCTTTTGTTTATTTTGGGGTCATATTTTCTGGAACTACTATTTATTAATCTTTGTGACATTGTTCAAGATGGAGTGTACTCTACTCAGCCTTGATTTTCTTCATGCAAATGCCAATGAAGACACTATACCAAGTTTAGAGATGAGAGTGGCAACTATCTTGGAAGGCAGCTGAGCTCACCACTATATTGGAACTTTGGAAACTCTTTCGAATTACAGGATAGGAAGAAATAAGGACAGTGGAAATATCTTTAAAAGTGAGGGGTCTTTATTTTCATTCATTCATACAATGTATTTTACTGAAGGCTGCTATTGCTACTCACTATTTTCTAGGACCTTAAAATCACTGTATTACTTAATAAAGCACTGATTTAAAATGTTATGTTTCCTAAAAATTTAGAAAATCACCGGGTCTTTAAAGCAAGTCTTTGGATTCTAAGTCTTTTTTGGTTTTGCTAAAAAAATCCTTCTTCAAGATGCTTATCAGAGAAAAATAATAAATCCAGTCTTTGCTCCAACTCTGACACATACAACCTCTTCCAAAGGACCGATATTAGGATTCTGCTCATTCTCTTAAAGCTTTATAATAATCATTTAACCATTCAACAGACATTTCTTATGAGATTACTGTGCTAGGCACCATAAATATACCAGGAAATAAGGCATAAGATCTTTGTCTAGATGGTGCTTACCAACCAGTGGGTAAGGATGCACTTAGTCTAGCCTACTAAACATGGGAGGCAGCTGGTAGCGCTTGCAGAATGATTAATGGGGCAGAATAACAACTAAATAAAATTAGATACCAACCCTGAGAAATTTTGCTAGGAGTGACCCACTAAAATATCTCTAAGATTATTATCACCACCCAGTGATCTTATCTGAATAGCACAGTAATAATTTCAGGCAACAAACTGACAACTGGGCCAGACATGTGTCTTGTCTCTGATTCTGTTTACCAAGTACTGCTTAGCTTGCCAGATACACTGATTCTTTGAAGTCTGGATTAAAACTGTATCACAGAATCAGAAAAAAGCTGGTACCTTTGTAATAGAAATACATACCTTAATGGGATTGGTCTTAAAGTCTTTAAAACAAAGATTTATGATAACACAAGAATTAAGAATGAAATAATGATGGGCCTCCCCGGTGGCGCATCGGTTGAGTGCTGGGATGCGAAGCTGCCCGCAGCCTCTGCAGCGCCAGTTCGATCCCGGCTGCTCCCCAGCCTCCAGAGGAGGGTCCCACATTGCACGCAGACCTCTCCTGCCGCCCGCTGCTCTCCTCAGCAGTGTACTTCGCTCCTTCTGCCTGCTCTGCTCCCTGCTCAGGCTCTGGTGAATTCTCTCACCCTCCCACGCCTCTGACTGTACCCCTGCTTGTATAAATAAATAAATAAATCTTAAAAAAAAAAGAAAATATAAGATTAAAAAAAGGAACGAAATAATGATAAAAAAGAGTGTCTGATACATAGTAAATATTCCTGAACATTATCATTCAAGAATATTATCAATCAAAATAATTCCTGAATTAGACTTCTCCAATGTCACTAAACGAAAGCCTAATTACTAAAAAGACCCTTATTGGTCCCAAATAGACAAGTGAGGTCCAGAGAGTAGGTTAAGAAACTTGCTCACAGTGTTTAAATGGGTGGGATGCAACTCAGTGTTATTTTTATGAGGTAGGGCATTATCCAATGCATTCTGTTGGGAAACTAGGAAATGGTCCTAAAAATTGAAAACAGCAGCTGGGTATTTCTCTGGAAAAAATGATCTTCCCAATTACCATAAAAGAGAGGGCTGAAACAGGAGCAGATCCATCCACAAGGGCATGCTGGAGACAACGGGGAGATGACTTTTACGCAACAGTTTTCTTGTAGTCTAGCTTTTAGACTTTGGCTTGTTTTGTTATTGCTGTTTGTGTTTTCTCCTATCGGAGAAAAGTTGGAGTTCTCTAGTGCCAAAGCTCATTTCCTTCACTGGCTGTGACATAGTTGGTTATCTTCCACTGCCCTTCCCCAGACATCATCAGCCGCCCCTCCCCCCCCAAACCCAGGAGCTACTCCACCCCTCCTCTGGCTTAGAGCGCTGGCAATGTTGCTTTTGCCTTTGTAATAACCCTTCTGTGATGACAAATTCAAGATCCTTGCAGATTACTACAGTGATTTTCCATGCTGCTGTTATGGCTTAGGTTTATAATTGTCCACGCGCTTTTATGATACTAGAAAGAACTCAAGCTATTGAGCTTGGCAAATAAAAATCCCAGGACCAAAAACAAACAAAAAAAAAACAAAACAAAAAAACCCCCAACAAAATCAATACTTTTTGTTTCTAATAAAATATCCAAAGATTATGACCAGAAATATCTCCAGAGAAATAATAACTTCTTGGGGTTCTTGTTTATGCCAACATAAGGGGAGGCTAAATTTATGTTTTCACATTGTTTTTTCAGTGAAATATAGCTTAATGGTGATGAAAATCACCACCACAAAGTTTGAAATATCCACTGGGAATCACCACCCACTATTATAGACTCTGAAAAAAAATATAGCTTCATGCACAGTAAGATTAACATTCAAACCTTTTGGCTAGTATAAAATATGCAAGTGAGCCTGCTCTTCAAATACCCTAAAATCCTACCCTTTTCTCTAGTCTCCCTTATCAATCACACCAGAGAGGTTTCCGAGCTTCTCCAGCAAACTGCAATGAGAAAATAGAGACTATGACAAAATTCTTTAAAATGTTCCTGTAGCGTGAGGGAAATTTTGTTTTACTATTTCATTGTAGAGACACAGAAAATATTTGCTACCTACCTAGTAACATATAAATGCTGAATTAATGACTCAGTTGTATAGGTGTGTGTCTTTCATCTTGTTTTTTGAATAGGTTTAAAAAATTATCTTCCATAAAAAACAATACTTTTATTTGTAAAGCAAAAACCTCTAAGAGTTGGAAAGACACCCCCTAAATCAGAGCCTCTACCATCACAGGGCCTTTATTAATCTGTTATAAATTACAAATATCTTCACAACTCATGCCTTCATCGCCTTCAGATCCTTGTTTCAATGTTGTCTTTTCAGGGAGAATTTACCTAACTATCCCATGAAGAGCTGACACTACTTCCATCCCAAAAATTCCTATCCCAAATCCTGCTTCTGCTTTTCTCCTAGCACTAATCATCATTTAACGTCCTATGCATTTTAATAATTTACTCTTTTACTTGTCTGTTTTCCTCCACTAAGATGTAAGCTCCTTGAGGTCCGGGTTCTTATCAATTTAGTGCAGAATATCCTCAGCACTCAAACAGTTGCTCAATTTGCAACTCTTTGCTCCTTTTCCTATGAACACACTGAGTTGTTAATTTGGTGAGTTAACACAAATAGATTAATAAATAACAGCAAAGTAGTACAAGTTCTATTACCAAGTTCTATTAACTTCTGGTTTTCTCCCAGAAAACTTTGGCTCAAAAATGCCAAAGGGTTACTTTTAAAGTACAAGTTTAAAATTTAAGGTAGTGATGTTCTGGTCACACGAAACCGTTTTCCCCTGCAGTGTCTATATTAAAATCTCATTCTCAGGACTGTCTCATATGCAAGATCATGTTCTCATACACATCTTGTACCAGAGTCTTGCATCCAGAGGTCCTTCATAAGCTATTGTGCAACAAATGAATAGATGATCTGACAGGAATAATGAAGAGGAAAGTACTACAGCAGATGAAGGTCAACCGGAAGTTCAGTGGGGCAAGAAATGAACTAACTGTGCTGATCTTTCTTAATCTATTTTTAGCCCACTGGGTTTTTGGAGACCGAATATCCCCTTAGCTCAGGATATTCCTGAGGTCATGCTAAGTTGCAAAAGGCTAGAACAGTACCAATGTGTTGATGGAAGCGGGGAGGAGGGTGGTGTTCAATGCCACGTGTCATGGCAGCACTTACTGAGCTAGTCTTCATTCCCCATGGCCCTTGTGCTCAGTCCTTAATTCTATCTGCCCAGTGATGTTCTTGCTCCCATCCCTTACTCCCTTCTACGGGTGGGATTCTCCACCACTTTCAGCTTTTCTTAGCAGCAAAGAAATGGCAGTGTTGGTCCCAGACTACACTGAGATCAGGTCACTCTCCTGATGAAGCTGCCACAAGCCAGGCAAGCATTGTCCTCTGCACCTTTACCTCCAAAGACCTTGAACCATAAAACAAAAGATGATTCCTCTGCTTAGATCGTGTGGAACTCTTGGCCTTCCCAGAGCTCAGCGCTAGAGCACCAATGCACATCACTCTCTTTCCTGCTCCTCCTCCCACTACTCCTGTTCCCCACTCCCTCCCTCCCTTGTTCTCTGCAAAGCCCATGGAATTTTCATGGCAAGTACATTTGGGGCAGCAGAGAGGTTTCAGGATAGGGTAGAGAGAGGGTAACCTAAGAAACCTCTTATTCTTAGAGGATTTTGTTTGTAAGAGCTGAGATTCTGAAAATCAGAAGCCAGGAACAGACTCCTTTTCTTCCTCTTCTTTCTGTGAATACATACTTCCTCTGAAACATGAGTAGAGTGTCCTAGGCTGAAGGTGGGGCTGAAGAAATAGGTTTGGACCTATTGGGAAGAAACATCAATGAACACCATACAACTAAGACTCCCTGTCCTTCCAGGTCAAGCAGAAAGATCACCATCTCTGAAGAGTCCTCCTTGTTTTCCTCCTCATTAAGATCTCTCCTTGCTGCTTTCTTTTGCCCTTTTGGGGCACCTACCCATCATGCCTCACACTAACCTATTTTGTTTCTTTTTTTTCTACAGACTGTGAACTCTCAGAAAGCAGAGCTCAACTTATTCATCCTTGAAATTCCCAGCACCAAACACAGTTCTTGAGATGAACAGGGCAACAGTAAATTGGTTAAATGAGGAATATAACTTGTCTTTTAGTTTAGCATGTATATGGAATTTTGAATCACTCTTCACATGTAGATTGTCTCTGGCAAACATCCACTATCATTAATAAGTTGATTTGTTGATTTGTGCGTATGATTCATGCCTGGATTCACAAAGACCTATTTCTGTGTTTTTAACAAAAGCTGTTTAGTACCTATCAGTATAGTATGTCTGTATTATTAATATGAAGGTGTTGGCCATAAACCATTTCTCTTTAGAGATCTTGAAAGGGATTCAATAAACAGAAAAAGCAGGACTAACCTGATTTTCATCCTGACTGGCAGCATCTGGGAGAAAAATGCAGAATCCAGAGTTAAGGGAATGGAAAATATTTAATAAATGAAACAAATAATTCACGAGGTACAGTGTCTGGCTTTCTTTAATGACAATGTAAGACCACAAATTGTTTTTGAGCTCATTAAAATTTACCTTGAAGGCTCTGCATCAGATCAGTACCAAAACTCAGAAGTCTCATAACTCATAAAATTCCAATTATTTTGGAAAATAATACTCATGCTATCTAACAACCTCGGAATACCCAATTTCTAATGTACCCATTCAGAGAAACATACAGCAGACTTCTTTTAAAATTACAACATAACACACATATAAATAAATGCATAGGTTATAATATAATTTATAAATTACATTTTTATAAATTATAAATTATTTTTATAAATTATAAATTTTTATAAAATATATAATTATATTTATATAAATAAATGCATTGGTTATAATATAATTTGAAAGTATGATGGAGTATAAGGTTTATATTGTGTATATTCATAAAAGTAAGTTTTCTGTAATCTAGATTGTAGTTATAAAAAGTAGAGTACTGATAAAAATTCATTAAATTCACAGACCATTGTACTCTCTCATTAACAGGATTCTTTTTGTACCTACACACTTTTGTAGGAAAATGGGTGTTGCTTGTATATAATGATCTCCTGACTCTCTATCTCTGAGGTTGCCTTTTAAAAAATATAAATGCTCCAGAGGAAGATCAATCTAAACAGCCATGTTTCCTTCAAATTCAAATAGGAAAGGCAGAAAACTACTTCCTTGCTCCTGCAAAAGTCCCTGGCCCTTTAGGAGAAATACTTTCAATCCACTAAGTATTAGAAATGAGAAAAAATACAATATGCTACAAGGCACTGCACTTTTAATAATTTATTTATAAATATATGTAAATGTCTTAGGGGTATGCTATATGTGGCATATAAGTAAGCTTTAAGTACCTATGGTTATATTCCTAATTTCTAGCAGCATGAATTGAGTTGCTTAGTGAGAGGAAAAGGAAGACCATATTGTCTTTCAGAACTAGTATAAAATTAACAGAAGGATTTGTCATGAATAAAGTTTCAAATTATATCTATGGTGGGGTATGGAAACTAGTAATGTATGTATAGATGTTGAGCCACAATGCCGTACCCTTGAAACTATTTATAGTTGTAGCACAATGTTATTTAAAAAAAAAAACTATAATTCAGATGATCTCAAATTACTTGTCATTTCTAAAGAAAACAACATAGTTATAAAGTCACATATATATAATTCTTCAAAATTGGGTATGTGATGACACAGACACACACACAAACATTTGGGGAGGGGTTCAAGTCCCTGGCCAGGGCTCTCTGATGTGTGGCAAGCAGCTTAGATTGCATACAAATTGCTTACCTTGTACGAGGCAAAGAGCCAGCGTCAGAAGCACTGGCACAGTGGCTATCTTCATGCTGAAGATGATGAAAGTTGGTTACCAGCCTGCTCCGTGCATTGCTCACCCGCTGGTGCTCTGAGACTGAACCCGTGGAGATGTGGCTCAGTTTTTATATACTCTACACCCACAAGACAGACACATAAAACCAGTTGTTCAACACATCACATACCACAGGTTTAGCTTCCTGTCAAGATGGCAGATATAAATAGGTAATGTCAACTGGAAAGTAATTTTGATGGGTTCTTACATTTCCCCAGAAGGCAACTGATTTAGTTCAAGGACCTAACTCCCAAGTTTAACACTCCATAGCTCTCTGTAGGAACTGAATTCCTCAGCAACACCAGACATGTTACCTCACAGACTAAACATGTTTGTAACTGGGCTACCTTCATAAGTGGGAGGGAATGGGAAAAGAAGAGAGATTGGTTGCCCTACCAGTCGAGTTAAGACGTAAAGATTTCCACATCTGGAGAAAGCTGTTTGTAATGAGAGAATATAGGATTCCTGTTTCCACCTGAAGACTTTGGGAAGTGTCTCCATTCAGTGTCACAGACTTACATATAAAAGGTAGAATTTAAAGACCTTAGAACATGTAGAACATAACCTAGCAAAATTTTAGCATTGACTACCTAGAAAACAGAAACCCAGAGAGGGATTAATGACTTTCCCCAAGACCACACAGTTCAGATGGAAAAGACAGAGGTGGCACTAGAAAGAAGACCATCAGTTTGACATTTTTCTATTTTACATACTGCTTCATCATCACATATTAGCAAAGGCAGAAACTTTATGACATCAAATTTGCACAGAACTCAGGCCTCCCTGGTGGCGCAAGGGGTTAAGCACCACACTATGAAGCAATCCGCAGCTTCTGCAGCACGAGTTCGATCCCCAGCCAGCCAGGGAGCAGCCCACATGGCGCAGCAGACCTCTCCTGACTCGCCCACTGCTCCCCTCAGCAGTGCACTTCTGTCAATCAGCCTGTTCTGTTCCCCATTCTGTCTCTGGTGAATCCTCTCACCCCCCCGCCCCATCTCTGGCCTGTACCCAGCTTTTGTATGCATAAATAAACCTTTAAGAAAAATTTGCACAGAACTTTATTTAAAAATTCTGTCTGAAAGGTATTTTATATTCTAAAGTCTTATCTTACAGTCTAACCCAACTTCATAATGATAAATATAAAAGATCTGAGGCTTAACTTTCCACAACTCATCACTCCCAAAATTAACAGTTTGAAAAATTTGACTCAATTAGTTTTTACCCTGAATTAAATTTACCCCTGTAAATTTCTTCATACTTAAGACTCCCAGGAAGGAAAAAAGAAATATGAAAAAAAATGAACAAATAAAAGTGATATTTACTAGAAAAATTATTTTCTCATTTGTGTCTTCTTCCATTCTATAATTATGACTTTGGCTACCACTTTCTTTTACTCTACCAGCTTAAGAGAGCACCTGAAGAAATCTGCAAAGGCGGCAGAAGCTAGAACCCAATGGTTGGAACCCAGTACTCCACAGGGGGACCACATCCATAGAGGAAAGTTTTAGACCTTCTGGGATCAAAGCCCTATCTAGCATCATTCCAGAAAACTCACCTTTGGAATCATGTCAAGATTCTGAATGCCATGGAAAGCAGAGTAATTCCTTTCTGTTTTTGTACATTAAGTAATTTACTTCCTATGAAATACAGTAATTTCAAGGTATGTGCTATTAGATTTCTTTGCAAAGGTTTAGTGAAATGAGTGGTAAAAATTACAGCTTAGAAATTGGGTGTCCATCATAGCTTAATGAAAAGAGAATGTCACAGGGAAACTGGCTTTGGCATATCTTAGATTTGGGCTAGTGGCAACTCGTGTGTGTGTGTGTGTGTGTGTGTGTGTGTGTACTTAGAATAATTCCAAGTATATGTCATGAGTTTTATAGTTAACGATAGTTGGTCTTGCACTTTTATGTCATTATAATTATGTAGTTTTAGTAGGTAATTTCTAAGTTTCCAAGAAAAGTCAGCATCGTTCGAATGTGAACCTCAACAAATTTAAATTAACTCAGCATGGAATAACACTCCCAACAGATTTGGAAGTGAAATTTAAAAATCAAGAATATAAATTATCCTTGCATTCTAAACCATAGTGCCTAAAATAAATCAAAGCATTAGCTGTCTAAAACTTGTCAGTGTTATGGCTTATTTTTTGTCTCTATCTATAAAAACCTCCTCCAAACACTGACATACCAATACTACCTTTTTATCTTACATCTGTTCTGTCAGGCCATGTGAAATGTGTCCTAACCATATATCTTATTATCGGTGGCAGGAATGTTTAATGCTTTGGAATGAGTGACTGTGTCATATGCTCTGATGCACCCTAAATCTAGCCTAATGGAAGTATTCCCAGGAGTGGAAGTGGGGCCAGGGTGGAACAAAAGGTGAGGGCATCTCTAAAGAATCTCTGCTATGAGGAAATATTGAAGGAGTTGTTTCCTTCTTACTGGAAAGAGTTCCTCACTGACACCAAGAACCTTTGGAAATGATGAATAAGAGGTTTGGAACTGTAAACCCCTTTCTAGAGGAGAAGACAACCTAAAGAGATTCAATGAGAACTTCCCAAAATGGAAATAATTGTCAGCTGGTTTATATCATCAGGACTTTTTCTCCATTTCATCTCAGGAATGCTGTAAATCCAGAAGTGATTCATCATATACTCTGCTAATAACTGCTTATTTCTGAAAACCACAGATTTAAATTCAAAATGAATGAAATTGAGGTTTTAGAGAAATGGGTTTGGGTTATTAGTGCTTTTCTCAAATTCTAAATTCATTTCCCCCCCAATATTTTCAGTTATTCATCAAACATGTCAGAATCCCTTTTCCTCATTAAAAAGGAAAGGAGCTAGATTTTTAAAAATATAAAATTTATAATCCAACCCATGTGTCAATTCACATCCAAGATGGCCACAGAAGGAAGAGATAAGAAAATTATGATACAAACAAGATTTTACAGACCAGTAATGTTACTGAAGACAAAAGTTATTTCCCAAGGCCACAGCTAGTAGATCGTTGTGCAAAGCTTTTTCTAAGCAGAAACCACCTTGATGACCAAAATAGTTTTATAAAGAATTACAGTCCTTAAAAAATGTTCAACATCACTTGTATTCAGGGAAATGCAAATCAAAACTACCATGAGATACCATCTTACACCAGTGAGAATGGCACATATTAAAAAAACTAGCAACAACAAATGTTGGCGAGGGTGTGGAGAAAAAGGAACTCTCCTGCACTGCTGGTGGGAGTGCAAACTGGTCCAACCACTATGGAGAGTGTGTGGAGATTTCTTGACCTACTAAACATAGAGCTTCCATAGGATCCAGCAATTCCACTCCTAGGTATTTACCCAAAGGACACAGAAACATCAATTCCAAAGAGTACCTGCACCCCTATGTTTAAAGCAGCACAATTTACAATAGCTAAGCTTTGGAAACAGCCCAAATGCCCAAAAATAGATGACTGGATCAAGAAGATGTGGTCCATATACACCATGGAATATTACTCAGCATTCAAAAAAGATAAACACATGCAATTTGCAGCAACATGGATGGTGCTGGAAGGGATCATGCTCAGCGAAATAAGCCAGAAAGAAAAAGAAAAATACCAGATGGTCTCACTCATAGAAGGAATCTAGAAAACTTAAATAAGGGACCAGGAAAAAGAACAACTATAAGAAAGTGAAAATCAAAATCAACAAACAACTATGAACCAGAGACACTCTATGGAGGGTGGGGGGCGGGGAGGTCAAAATAAGGGGGTTGCAATTGTATGGGGAATATAAAAATAAAATTTATAATAAAAAAAAAAGAAAATGGCATCACTGGAGCTAGAAGGAATTATGCTCAGTGAAATAAGCCAGAAGGAAAAAGAAAAATCTTGGATGGTTTCACTTATAGCAGGAATATAGGGGAACCAAATGAGACATCAGTGTAAAAAAAAATGATAACAGTACAAAATACAACAAAGCAAAAACAGAAAATTATAAATCAGAGACATACTGGGGGTGGAGGGAGGGAGAGGGATCAGAGGGAGGGAGGATCACAGGGGACTGAGGTGATGGTGGTGCATTGGTGAAGGAAATTCTATGGGTACTAACCTGAGGGGGTGGGGGGATGCAAATATTGTTTAAAAATAAACAATGATGAGCAGGAATTTAGAAAACCTAAATAAGGGACCAGGAAAAAGACAAATTAATACAAAGTAAAAATCAAAATCAACAAGCAACTACAAACCAGAGACACACATGGGGGGTGCGAGGAAGGATTGGGGTCAAAATAAGGGGGGTACAATTGTATGGGGAATAAACCAAAATGAAAATGTACACATTGTGTAAAAATAAAAAATGATGTAAGAATTATATAAAATATTAAAAAAATGGACAAAAAAAATTACAGTCTTTTACAATTATATCAGCTTATACGTATCTTTCACAACAATCTGTAATTCATTTGCTCTCTTGAATTGTTCCTGCAATACTGTGAGGTAGCAAAGTAGGTATTGTCCTTTCCTTACCTTCCAAAAATGGCACCCTTCATGAACTCCAGAGTAAAAGCCAGCTTGGATAGTAATGCCAGCTTTGGCACTTTCTTACCTAGTATACCCTCAGCTTTCCAGGTCCCTGTGGTTATCTCGAATCCTTTCACAGTTCAAAGAGATTTCAGTGCCTCATCACTATAGTGCTTTAAACACTATTATAGCACAGCATTGCTACAACATAGGTATCAGCGTTCTACTGCGATGTTCTTCTGGCTCTGATCCTCTATGCATGCGCTTGCTTGTTAGTGTGCGTGCGCGCGCGTGCACACGCACACACACCCCCAGAATAACTTGGGCAAAAAGGAGTCTGTTATGACCATGACAGAAAAGTATTAGTCCTAAAAGATCTTAGAAGGTAAACTGTTTCTTTTTTTTTCTTCATTTTTAATTTTCTTCCCTATAATTCTCTTATTTTCCTCCATTAATCTAGCATTTCTATATTTTCATCATCTTTGAAAGACACTAACTGA